AATTCTAATCATTCCTAATTATTTGATTATATTTGACCATAATCCATGTTTTCTAAATTGCAAAATGTGAAATCCCCATCTTGTATATGGCAAGATTTTATACAGTTCCGTGCACGTGAGATTTATTTATGCCATGATATGATAATCTCAGAATTTTTTTAACCGAGTAGAGTTGTTCCTTATTGTAACTGAAGCAATTTTCTATAAACCATCCTATATCTGCAGGGTTAACTGTTCCATAATTTGCATCTGTGAAAAAAAACCTGCAGCAGTAAACTGCAGTACACCATCTGCCAAGAACTTCTGTGTATCAATATTCAAATCTCAGAGTCAAGTTCATTTTCTGCAGAGATTGTGGGAATTACTCCACAAATGAAATAGGAAATTAGTATTGTGCACATCTAAGAAATGATAGATTTGATTAAAAATCGAAGAGGATGTTTCAGAGCTTCACTTTTTCTAACTAGCTAATAAATGATTAACTGACACATTAGGAGAAGCCTAAATATTTTTCCATACTTACAAAAGCAGCCCATCAGATCCAGCTTTACAAAATCATAATTTAGATATTTGCTGGACCTGCAAGTTAGCAAAACGCTTTTCAATCTATAGAGACCTCTATTTTCTTTTCTGCATCTTTGTCATTATTTGGAAAGTGTAGAAAAATGGAGCAATACCCAAATAGTCCTTTGATAAGTTTTCATTAATTACACATATTTCATTACATAAAGTTTTAAACAAGAAAGAAGCAAAACTGGGATAAATTAATCTGCTTTCTAAAATATCAGTCCATCACAAATAGGTGATTTATTGAAGTTTTAAAAATGAATAAAGACTACTTTAGAGCAGCACTGTCTTTAAAACATGTTACAATTTAATTCTTTAAATGAGAAATAGGGAGAGAAATGTCTAATGCTTAATTTATCAACACTGACCTTATTTTCCTTAGGCAAGTGTATCAGAGCAAGGATGGGCAACCATTTTGTTTCTAGAGATAGCACTTTAACATTATTTTTAATGTAAAAAGCTGTAGTGGTTGGGGTAGTAACATATACAGGAAATCAAAATTTTAATCTGATTTGCGTTTTAGGGAGATTTTAATGTTTTATGAAAATGATAGGCATGTAGCACTATGATTTGATTCATTATTCGATATTTTGCTGCTGTTTATTGGTGGCATCATCCTGTTAGTTTTTAAGGGACACAGAACAGAAACTAAATTAGAGGAAGAAAACAGTAATTCTGTGATGAAATACATCTTTCATATACTCTTTAATAATAGAAAGATCCAAACTGAGAGATCTTTTATTGATACTTGGAAAGGCTTACAAGTTTAATTCAGTATATATAGCTTCTTAGCCCCACTTAAAAAAGGAACTCCAGAGTTCAGTGCAGGGGACAGCTCTAATTTGGAGAGCTGGAGCTAAAATAATCACTCTGAAATCTTTTTAGTTTTTTTTTAAAACACCTTTCCAGCCAAACTTCGCAGAACTACTTTAAGGTGGATTATTTAATGATTTTTTTGCAGGTTTTGTTGTCTGGAAGAACCTGCAGGGTTTAGTAATTATAAAGATGGTTTATGTAAGGGCAGTTACAGACAGTGGACTCGTTTGGACACCAAAATGTATAAAGACTCCAGCTTTATAACTTTGTGCAAAAAAAAAAATCCTTAAGAAACTGGATAACAGCAATTTGTATAATGTATTTTGGTAGAAGGCATGAAGATGGCTGGGTGATTTTGGGCCAGTCACTCTGTTAGTCCCAGGAAGAAGCAATTGCAAAGGACTTCCAGAGATCTTGCCAAGAAAACTGCAGGGATGTGTCCAGGCAGTTTCCAGCAGTCAAGATTGATTTGAAAGCATATATGTTTAAGCGCCTGCACACACCCGCACACTCACACACAAAAGTAAGCCATACATTTAAAGTGCTCTGTAGATAACTCTCCCAATCATGGATCTTGTACCTCCTTGTAGTAATAAGCACAAATGAAAACATTGGGATTTGTATGGCTCCTGAATTGTATTACTTTGCTGTAATCCATCATAATATCATGGTCAACATCCAGCTCAATGGACTGCAGATGCACCAATGCAGAAATTGATATGTGGGCTCTGGAGAAAAGTGAAACTAAAAAATATTTTCAAAAAAATCACATTTCCAACAGCTATGTGAGCCAACAATTATTGCTTTGTGACGGGGATTCCTCCCAGAAAGTTTTGCCAAAAATTCTTAGCATACAGGTGGTTCTCAACTTACCGCTACACTTGAACCCAAAATTTATGTGGCTGAGACATTTGTTAAGTTAATTTGGCCCCATTTTATGACCTTTTTTGCCATAGTTGTTAAGTGAATCACGACATTGTTAAATTAGTAACACAGTTGTTAAGTGAATCTGGCTTCCCCATTGATTTTGCTTTTTTCAGTGCCAGGTTGTAACTTCAAACAGTCACTAAATGAATTGTTTTAAGTCGAGGACTACCTCTATAACTATTTCCTTACATGTCAGGATCCAGTTTATATGACTTCAGATTTTTTTCTAAACGGTGTATCCAGATAATAAGACTTAAGGACTAGCCATCTTTTCATCCGCCATCCACGTTTTGGGAGGGGTGGGAGTTTCTACCCACGTTGTTGAAACAACGGCTCTTAGTAATTCGAAATTTGGCTACAATATTAAATTATCGCTTAGAGCAGGGGTCCTCACCCTTGGCAACTTTAAGACTTGTGGACTTCAATTCCCAGAATTCCTCAGCCAGCTTTGCTGGCTGAGGAATTCTGGGAGTTGAAGTCCACAAGTCTTAAAGTTGCCAAGGTTGAGAACCCCTGGCTTAGAGGTTTTTTGTCCCGGGACCCCAGTGCTAGGCGGAGTCCTTTCCGACGCCCTCGGGATTTCCCACGTTCAGTCAGCCCGGCGAGGGAAGCGCACGAGCCCCGGCCCTTTTCCTCCGGCGTATTGAACCGTCCTGGCACCAGCGGCCGGGGGTCCTGCTGCGAGAAGCCGGGCGCTCTTCCAACTTTTCCTCCGCTCCCTCCAACGGCCGCCAGGGCCAGGAGGACCCCAGGCGCTCGCCAAGCCAGCCTTTCCCGCCGCTCCGCGCGCCGAGGCGTCCCTGTCATGCAGACGGCCAAGGTAAGGACGAAGCGGGTACGCGTGTTAAGGTAAGGACCAAGCGGGGCGACGCCTTTGACCTGCCCGCGATGCGAACTTCGACCCCCAACCCCCCGACGGGTTGCAGGCCGTTTGCTCCATATTGCTTGCAAACGTGCGCTATTGCGCTTCTCCCCGTTCGGCACCGCGGGCAAGTGGGTTGGCTTAGCCCAGTCACCGGAGAGTCGCGCTTCTTTCGCCCTTGCTCTTCTTCTGCGAGCTCGAGTGGGAAAGAAAAGCACGAGCATCGGGGCTTTTTTTGCTTCGCGCAAAACGGCGAGCGGTTGGAATGAACAGAGTAAAAGCGCGCCTTTGGAAAGACGAGCTGACGGCGGTGAGTAAAAGTTGCGGGACTGCGGCAGTTGGCCAGGCTGCTTATGGGAAGCTGAGTAACAGGCGGGGAATAAGCTGAGAAGAGCCGTCCGCCTGAACGGGGCCCGTAGATCCCCGCTGTGGCAAGAGAACGGGCATTCCTTTTCCCTTGCAAAGCTCGCTAGCCGGAGCTGCTGATCGCTGGCGCTTCAGGTGAAATGTATTTATACAAATAACTTTCGTGCCCCGTTGTAGCTGACCTTACAAATCGACAGCTCTTGAGGCAATTTCTAGCAAAAACGAGCAATTTCAGCCAGAAACCAAGAGGTAGAAAAAAAAACAACACTTGAATTAAACTATTGCATAGGACAGGAATCCAAACTATAGCATCTTATTTACATAGGATACTTGTAAGATGTTAAATAAGGATAGCCTTAGGTGTTGATGCAAAATTCAACATGTAAACTACTTAATGGGCATTAAGGCTCTGGTTGTGATTGTAACAAAATATTCCGGGACAGTGAAAGCTTTACCGGTCCTGTATTTGTGCTCCAGCACTTTTTCAAGCAATATTATATAATTATAATATTATATAATTGTATTGTATTTATATTATATTTATAATATATAATATGTAAGCTATATTAATTCGTTCATTAAATTTCTATAGCTACCCATCTGAATCAATGATTCTGGACAGCTATTTCCAAAGTATTGTACAATCCTGATATATTGTAGAACCTATTTCCAAAGTATTGTACAACCCTGATATATTGTAGAACCAACAATAATGGGTATAAATTGTACTAACTAGTTGTGGGGGGTTTTAGGATTTGTCCCACGTGGCTGCAGAGTCTGCTGGGAGGGTGATCCACTGGACTTGGTTAGTTCTAACAGTTTACTGTCAGTACAACAGGGATTTGTTTATTAGCCACAAATCCTGATTGTGATTAGGTCTGTGAGTGTAGGAGAAGTGGCAGAACCTGGAGGTGGAGTCAAAAGAGGATGCAACCTAAAATCTCTACCTAGCCACAAATGGACTGAGTCCAACCATTCTTGAATTCAAGCATCCAAATAGTGCTATCCTGTGCATAGGAAAGAGTAGTAATAAATCAGTTTAATTTGAACTTCATGTGTGGCCCTGCTCTTTTGCACCTGACTGGAAGGGGCTGACTGATCAAGGTCATCCAGCCGGCTTCCATAAGTAAGGGAGGACCTGAACCTGGATCACTCCACTCTTAGTCCAGCACCTTAGCCATTACAGCACATCTCTGGATATTGGTTCCAAAGTTAAGTTGCTGTGGCAGAAGAATTGGAGAAGATCTCAGATGCCATGTTGACGAATTCAGGCTTAAGCCAACAGTGTGATCAGTCAGGGAAAACTCCCTGAAATTGTTTTTAGTCAGTATTCTTTTTCTGCATCTCAAATTCTGTATTTTTGTTTGAGTTTAAACAATATAAACTTCTTTTATATTGTTTTATTTCCTGCTCATTACAGGGATGGATACTGGTTTGTCTACTTTTGTGTGGGCTCGGTTTCCCCAGAGTAGAAGCTGTCAAAATAAGCAAACGTCCCATGCGCTCTCGATCCTGTGCAGACCGACCTGAGGAGCTTTTGGAACAGCTGTATGGAAGACTCACAGCTGGCATGCTCAGTGCCTTCCATCACACCCTGCAGTTGGAGCCCCTGGAAAATGACCAGAACATCAGTTGTCCTGTGGGAGGCAGGCTAGCTACTGATAAGACATATCGGCTCCCCATCAATCTCAACAGTGTCTCTCCTTGGTCCTACAGGTAACCCGATCTTTTCCATACCTTTAAAATTTAAAATTGGGTTTAAATGGAAGTGGTTTGCACTTCTACCTCCTTCCTAGGGCACAGAGAAAGTGACTGACCCAGGGTTGCCACATGGCTTCATGTCTAAAGTATTCTCCTAGTTTCCAGTTGAGGTGCTTCAACTACTATACCAAAATGAGCTTTCATTATAGTCTTAAAGCCAAGCTTTGCACATAAAATATGTAAAATAAGCCTAAATTTCTTCACAATCCATTAAAAAAAACAATTAAAGGAAGGAAGAAAAAGAGTTGGGGTTAAAGTTAATATTAAGAATATGGGAGGGGTGCAGTTCTGTTAAACAATATTTGCTCAAAGCAGCCGGTCATCAATTCATACTTCCTTTTCTAAAAATGGGTATGCAACTCATTTTCACATGAGGCACAAGTTCTTCCAGTTGGCTGTGGCTTTTCTGTGTATTTTTATTTGTAAGCTGCCCAGAGTTGGTAGGGAGTCAGACAGCCTAGAAATTTAATGGATGAATAACATAAAATAATTAACATAATAAAATAGGAAAGGGGGGGTGATTGTGCAGTTGTGCCCATCATCTCGAAATGTTTCCATGTTGATGCTTGATCCAAAGAAGGGAACTCAACTCGCATTATTCCAAATGACAGTAAATTGTCCAATTCTTAGCTTACTTTTCTATGTTTAAGCAGAGTTCAAGAACTGCAACTGTCTATTTTCCTCTTAGCCTAATAACAGCATGATAATGTAAAGAATATCTCAACATTCTGCTAGACTCCTTCCCATTCAAGTCAATCCAAGAAACAGGGAAAAAGAGCAGCAGGAGAAATAGAGGGAAAATTGGGACAGAATGTCCAAAGTGAATCCTTCTTCTTTTCCTTTGGCACAGAATCTCCTACGATTCTACCCGGTATCCGAAATACATTCCTGAAGCCTACTGCCTTTGTAAGGGCTGTCTTACAGGTGATTACGGAGAAGAAAATCTCCATTTTCGAAGTACGCCAGTATTCATGCCGACTGTCATCTTGCACCGAACCACATCCTGCACGGGCGGCCGCTACGCTTACACTGAGGATTATGTCTCTATTCCTGTGGGCTGCACCTGTGTACCAGAACATGAAAAAAGAAGCACAAGTGAATTCCAGCATAGATAAAAGAGCAGTAAAATTGATGGGAAATCAGAATAATGACAAGCCAGCATCCAAATGAGGAATGGAAAGGAGGCCAGAAACAAAGGATGTTTCAGTTCATGATTTCTGTTTCGAAGAACTGCAATGTCCACTTCCTGCAACAGAGTTCATCTCAGTTAATTTCATAGAACTTGGGGTCAATTGTAATTAAAATTGTCCTTTCTTTAAAAACAGTGGAGTTTGCAAGATGCCTTTTTCCTCATAAATGGAGATGTGACAGATCCTGGGGAGTTGCAATATTGAAATGCTGGGGGACACTTACATTGAAGCATTTTAAGGTATGTAAAAGTGCTACATAACCATTCCAAACTTCAGTGCTTTGTTATGCAAATACTCAAAATATGCTGAGCAGGGATGCAGCATTGATTTTTGTGTATAATAAAATCTAGGTTCAACAGATTTTGGATATAATGGACAAATTCTTCATTTGAATTGTTTACCCATCAAATCACGCTTTTATTGAAAAATATGCTATTTGTATCAATTACATAACACCCGGGACATACATTGATGCAAATGACAAATTCAGATTTAACAAACACTCAGACTTAATGCATGCCCCTCCCTACTCGGGTCTATGAAGTCAGTGTTTCATTGCATTTTTCCTACATCATTACAGAATGCAAGTGAGGGCCACTGAAATGAAAGTGAGAACAATATAAATGAATAATTAAAACATTTTTCAAAGAATGCTGAAAAATTAGCTGTGCATCTGCAACTGATTTTTAAAAAAATGTAAGTAGCTTTGACTTGGTATTTAGAATCTTATATTCTGGAATTACAACATTAAAACTGTTATAAAAGCTATTGAATACATTAAGCATGCTGGTGGCTACAAATATACATGCTTTTTAAAAAGGGACTCAATAAATATATAGAGAATAGATCTGTCAGTGCCTATTAATCCTGGTTGTTTATTGCCTCAGGCAGAAATGTACTAAATGGGTTGTGGAGTTGCCAACTATACAAATATTAAGTACTTATCAATCAATGTTCATAGAATAAATAACCATTGTTTAAAAACATTCAGATTTGGGTTTTACTTTAAGTTTGGATTTATATCCTAATCTGGCATATACTAGCCATAGCTCTGGGAACACAGTGATCCATCCGTCAGAGCAAATATCGCCATCCACACTACAAGAGATGACCTCAATCAGGCAATCTTCAGCTACACTGCAGAAGCTGGCCAAGTCCTGAAGAGCCCCAATTTGGAGAAAGCTGACTGTGACAGAAGTTGCTTTGCATACCATTGTGAAAAGCAAAGCATTGTCTGGTTTATGAGCCCTTTTGGAAGCCTGGAAATATGTCAATTGCCTCTCTAAACTATTTTAACTTTTTGTAGCAGCTCTGGGAATACATAAATAAACATCAATAAAATGAAATCCTGGACTAAAAGGCAGACAAATGTGTTTTGGCATTCCTTCCTCAAAAGAGAGAAATGGCCAAATTCAAGGAAAACATGAGCCAAAATCTTGAATAGCAAAAGTTCTCTGAATTGTGTATGCACAAGGCATCTGCCAATGCCCCCTGAAACACCAAGATGCAGGAAAAACTGTTTAGCCCTGTTTACAGGAGTTTAATTATTTCAAGTTCTTTTTTTCCCCAACTGCAAATGCCATACTAAGTAAGCATTTTTCAAACTGATTTCTTTTCCAAATTATTCAGTAATTATCCTTGGAGCTTTTTCCAAAGCGAATAGAAGTGGGGTTTTATTACTGAAATGGACAATTTGGAAGCATAGTACATTTGAGCCATCTGTAGCAGTTACAAAGCAGGAGGGTGACCAAGAAGAGCAGATTGTGACAAATCGGTGATTAAATCTGTATTTGGGATTTGGGTCTCACTTCCAAAGAGGGACTGGATTCCCATTTCCATCATTCTCATTCTCATTCTCATTCTCTCTCTCTCTCTCTCTCTCTCTCTCTCTCTCTCTCTCTCTCTCTCTCTCTCCCAGTCTCTCTTCTATCTCTCTATGTGTGTGTGTGTGTGTGTGTGTGTGTGTGTGTGTGTGTGTACTACACACGTATACATGCATGCTCCTTTATCAGCTTGTTTGAAGGCTGCCAGCATAGGGTGACAAGAGACCAAAGAATCAGAAGCAGATTTCAAGCAATGTGTTTTTCTTCAATTGATATTGACAAAATGGATAATTATCTTATTAGATTTAGATTCTTATTAGATTTTAGATTTTAGATGGATAATTATCTTATTAGATTTAGGTACAGTACTGCCCAACTCCAACTCATGTGCCCAACTCCAACTCATGTGCTGAGATGGCTGGAAAAAGAAACGCCTGGAAATTAATTTGAGAAAGAATAATGGAAAAAAACTATTGCAACAGAGAGAAAACTGAAGAGAAAGGATAGCTGTCTTCATTCAGAGATTGTGGTTTATTTTGTCCTGCTCCAAAAGACAGAAAGATCAAATTCTGGACAATGTAAAAACCCTTTGCCTGAAATCGTAGGGAGCCACTGCCAAGCAGAATCAAAGCAAAATAGAGTCCTTTCTTCCTGTGCATACAATATGGAAATAAAACAGAACCATGGTGAATTCCTAATGTATCAGTTCCATCTAGGAAACAAGATGGAGTGATCAAAATCTAAAGAACAATTTAAGTAAGAACTTTTTAAATATCTCTTGCATCTCTGGAAATCTTTAAACTTCTAGAACATGGATTAATCATTTAAGGTGTCTTCTGTTTTCTATAAAATTTTACCAGTTGATGAATTTGGTGTCTCTGTGTCCATCATTGATATGTGTCTCTTCCCACCAAACATTCTCTTTAAATTATCTCCCAAACCAAGCATATGGCTCATATATTATCGGTAGTGAAAAACAGGAACATTTGCAACTGAAGACACTCAAATGGTCTTTGCTTTTTAGGAAAAAAATGACATATGATTTCATCCAGGCAAACGTATGATTTTAATTCATGTCAGAAAATTGCTTTCCTATTCACTGATATTCAAGATGGGTTCTAAAAATGTATTTCAGTACTATTACATAAAGAAAAACCTGAACTCCCAGCTCTTCCTGCGCAGGTGGAAAGAGCTTATTCCAACTAGATTTTGTTGGACTACCTCAGCTACCCCATCAGTTATCAAATCGTAACTGGTATGGTAGCTGACCAATCTTCAACTGGTGCTGACCAGTTCTTGATCTTCTTTGTCATCTTTTCAACCATTTCTGCTGTTATTTCAAGTCTGAGGATAATGAATGCAATCTATGTAATGAGACAGTGTTTTGGACTAAGGCAGGTGTATCCAGTGTTCCTTTTTGCTCTTCCATTTCAAAATTTATTTTATATTAAAATAAATATTAAAACATTTTAAAATATTAAAACATACAATTTAAGAAATGTCAGTGATGGGATGGTCCTCATTTGTAAAACATTTGTAAAATCAAGATTCACTCTAGTTACAGAAAGTACTCAAATATTTCAAAATCCAGGTCAAATAGCTTTAGCATTTACCTCTACCCTCTCTACTGTAAAACACAAACACAGGGGACACCAAGGATGTCAAAAGTCAAATCTTAGATCTAGTTCGACAACAAAAGGCTCTAACAAGCAAGATGGGAAACGAGATTGCCTTATAACCTTGGAAATAGGGTAGGAGCACAAAGGAGGCACAGAGGAAGTAATGAAAGAGATTATGATGTTTCTATCTATAGTAATTCCCTGAACAGTTGCTGGTGATAATATATACATCCGGACATCGGTAACCTAAAAATAAATTATTCCAGTGGAAGCCACAGGTTATGGAACTGAGATTCTTGATGTACTCTCAGTCGCTTCACATTGCACTCATCCTTTGAAGACATCTGTTTAGGAATAACTGTTTTACAGCAACCCCACAGTAGCATTCTGTTAACAGAAAGGGAGGGGAAACTTGCCTTAAATCAGTCTGGTTGAAGTTCCTTTCCCTGGTAATTGAAATAGTCATGTGTCCTGAAGCAATTATTGTAATTGCAAGTTTTTTATTCTTTATTGCTCTCAACACTATATAATTTCTTCTGTGGCTAATGTCCATAGTTTAAATTCTCATTTGGAATAATCATAGGAACATAAAAAACTGATGACAGAAAAAGATCTAGCGGTCCATTGAGTCTGCCCTTTGACTTTTTTTAAAATTAATTATTAGATGTTATTTTTAATATTTGTCAAATGATAGACATGTGTTTATCCCAAGCATGTTTAAACTCAGTTGCTTGATGATTGATCCACTATCTCCGTTGCAAGTTGGTTTCAAGCCTCTACTATAGGTAATCCTCAACTTATGCCCACAATTGAGCCCAAAATAAGTGGGACATTTGTTAACTGAATTTTGCCCCATGACCTTTCTCACCACAATTGTCAAGTGAATCACTGCAGCTGTAGTTAGTAACACGGTTGTTAAATGAATCTGGCTTACCCATTGACGTTGCTTGTCAGATCGCAAAAGGTGATCACATGACTGTGGGACACTGCAACCATGATAAATGTGTCAGTTGCCAAGCGCTTGAATTTTGATCACATGACCATGGGGATGCTGCAATGGTCGTAAATGTGAAAAATGGTCATGTCACTTTTTTCAGCACTGTTGTAACTTCAAACGGTCATTAAAGGAACTGTTGTTAAGTTGATGACTACCTGTACTACTTCTGTAAAGTAATACTTTCAAACACTACTTTTGAACTTCCCTCCTGTGAGTCTGAGGTTATGCCTGCACATTCTTGATTTTTGCTTAATATTGAAACTCACATAAGTTCTGCACAGCTATTAGAAAGCTGCTAAAGACTTCCATGTGTATGTCTATAAAAGCTTATTTCAGCTTAGAGCATTACAACAGCCAAGCTATTAGCTGGAACAAGTGCAAAATATCTTTTAGTTCACCGCCAAGCCTCTTTCAATGGCAGGATAGGCTTTATGGGAATTGCTGGGTCTCATTTCTAAGCTTGACAAACTATAGAGCACCTTATTTTAGTCAAGCAGTTGTTTTTATATTACCAGTTATTTTATATTTCTTTTGCTTAACTTGCTATCACAAGTCTTGTCTCTTGCCTGTGATTTTATGCTGATTTGTGTTGTAATTTCGAGTAGCTCCTATGGTAATTTATTAACACCTATGGAAAAACTATATCAGAATAACAAAATTGGAAGAGATTTTGGAGGTCTTCTAATCCAACTCCCTGCTCAAGCAAGAGATCCTATACCATTTCAGACAAATGATTGTCCAGTCTCTTCTTAAAAACCTCCAGTATTGGAGCATTCACAACTTCTGAAGGCAGGTTGTTCCACTGATTAATTGTTCTGTCAGGAAATTTCTTCTTAGTTCTAGGTTGCTTCTCTCCTTGATTAGTTTCCATCCATTGCTTCTTGTCCTGTCTTCAGGTGCTTTGAGAGTAGCTTGACCCCCTCTATAGTGATCTCCATGTGACCAACAGTATTGTTGTAGACCAGTGCATCAGATCCTTGGGTGGGTGGGGGGTTCTAAGGGCACTCCCAGTTTCAATTTTGAAGTTCATCTGCAATCCAGTTTAACGCTGTCAGCCTCAAATTCAAGACACCAAAATCAAGATACCAAAATGCAAACCTAGAAAAATACTTTTTATCAAATTTAGAAATTGCCCATCTCCCTTACAAAGGGATTCATATCATCTGAAATGTAACCTGAAGCAAAAAATGTTGATTGATACATCATTAAAAAAAAAGAAATGGCAGGTGTTTACTTTGTCAGAAAAGGAAAAATCACTCTAGTTTGAAAAATCCTATTAATGTTTATTGGGTTATCAAGAGCCTGAATCCAAATCCAGTCCAGAGTCATAATTCACATAGCATCGAAATTCATTAGCTAAATTTCGAGCATGTTTTGGAACAAACTTGCACATTTTCACACCAAGATATTTAACAGCATATTCTTCCATGATTAAACCTGAAAACAAAACAAAACAAACTTTAGAATAGTCCTACTAGATTAGAACAGGTTTTAGGTATTTGCAATTATGGTCCAATCAGATACTCCCAGAAAGCTCCTAAACTGAGTATAAAAACAAAAATTCTTTCCTGCTATCCACAGGTAAGCTACTACAGTAGTCCTTATGACTTTAACAGAGGCAAGTATAGTTGTAAGTCAAGGTTAAGTCAGTCACCCATGACTGTGCCCCATTGTATAACCTCTTTTGTGGTGGCCATTAAGCAAACATGGCTGTTGTAAAGCAAACATGGTGGTTGTAAAGCGAAACCATTGTTTGCTAGGGCACGATTTTTGCCGGAAACCAGAAGTAAATGTGTTTCTAACAAAAACATCATAAATCCTTGTCATGTGACTGCACGACTACAAATAGCAGTAAATGCAGGCCGGTTGCCATGTGCACAAAATGTGGTCAGATGATTGTGAGGGTGGGCTCAATGTACCTTCAAATCCAGGTCGCAATTAGCTTTTTCAGAGTCTGTCATAACTTAGAATGGTTGTTAAGCAACCAGTCATAAATTGAGAACTGCCTATCTGTTCAGACAGCTCTGTTGTTATGAGAACGCTATCAAAAATGCAAATTCTCCTTCTCAAACTAAATCCCCAGGATATCCATTTTTTCACCTCCTATTGTCTTACAAATCATTCATTGTGGGGAAGAGCTGATTAGTTCCCAAATGGGAACATTCTGAAAAAAATACAAGCCAAAACACAATAGCTGTTCAACAGAAACCAGCCATGAAAACCTACATAAAAGGAATATTTGTTCTGCCATATGTTTTGAATCAAGTAACACTTCGTACAGCATTCTTTTAAACAATAAATCAAATATACTGTGTTCATAGATTAACCCTAGCACATCCCCCATATCTGGTCATACAATGGCAAAAATATACAGGTAGTCCTCGACTTACGGCCACAACTGAGCCAAACATTTCCGTTGATAAGTGAAACATGTTAAGTGAGTTTTGCCCCATTTTAAGAACTTCCTTGCCATATTTGTTAAGTGAATCATTTCAGTTGTTCAGTTAGTATCATGATTGTTAAGTGAATCTGTCATCCCAATTGACTTTTCTTGTCAGGTCACAAAAGGTGATCACATGACCCTGGGACACTGCAACTGTCATAAGTATGAGTCAATTGCCAAGCATCTGAATTTTGATTGCATGACCATGGGGATGCTGTAATGGTTGTAAGTGTGAAAAATGGTCATGTCATTTTTTTAGTGCTGTTGTAACTTTGAATGGTCACTAAATGAACTGTTGTTAAGTCGCAGACTATATGTATACATATCTTAGGTGAAATAAAGCATGCTTTTGAAATTTGCCATCTATTTCTCGAATCCATCTTCATAAGTAGCTATATTATCTGAATGAGTTAATGCTGGTCCTCTAAACCTTTACTACCTGTTTTCAGTTAGTTTTATACTCAAAGTCACTGCACTTTGATATTTTGGACAATGGTGTTATTTCTCTATATTTTCTCCCCTTTTTACTTCCCTCAACCTCCAATGCTGTTGCTGTCTGCTGGTCACCTTTGGCATACCAACGACAGGAGAAATATTTAATTATAGTTCTTGTGGGTCATTAAGAGAAGCACTTGTTAAGTGAAACTGCAACTGTGGTTATAATCTTCCTTCATCTTCCCTTTGTTTTACAGATCTGCAAAGGTTGTAAATGTGAGGACTAGTCATAAAGTTACTTTTTCATCACAAAGTCATACCTGCAAATGGTCACTAAATGAGGCAGTCACTAAGTGAGGACTACCCGAAGTTTTATCAGAACATTCTTTAAATCTATAGAAACCTATTTACAATGTATGCAACTCTATTATAATAATGATTTTTATAAATGGCTGCTGTTTTCTTCCCAAAAGCTATTGAAGCAAATGAATTTGAGAAAAGAAGTGATGTACCTGTACAGAGCAGAATCTTTCCTTTAGTTAAGTATTTAATGGTTTCGGCTATTTTTTTGAGACATTCTTCAGAAAGGTAGGGTGGATCTGCTAAGACAATATCAAAACTATGTGCTCCAAGGTGGGTTGGAAGTTTCAAAGGACTGTGGTAATCATAGAAAATATATTCAGTTCCGTACACAGAAAATCTTTGGTCATACTCCAAAATGCAGGTTGAAAAATCCTGGTTGTCCTGCTCTTTCAGTTTTTGATAAACACTCGGGGCACTGACACAAGCTATCCTGCAAGGATAATGAAGCAAGGAAAGAAGTGGTTATTTAATACATCAAAATGTTTAATTCACACCTTTTCCTGAAAATAAACATTTAACTACTTACTTGAGACCACAAACATCATTCTTGTTCAATAACACACCTGCAGATTTTTTTTCCCCTCACCACAGACAGGAAAGTGCTAATTTGAAATAACTGAACAAATAATGTATTTATAAATCAATAATAATCATTCACTGAACAGTGCAAACTTGTTGTTGGGTGATTATGCACAGTATTACAACCAAAGTCAATTTTACAAATAACCTACCACTCAAAAAGTAACAGCACCTTCTGGACTGCTGAATAGACAGTCTCTGTCCATCTTTTCTATATATAGGGCAGGATCAAACAGGGCATGGTTTCCTGAAATAGGCTGCTTCTATTTCTACTATTATTATAAGTACACCTCTCTCATACACTTGTGGTTAATTCATGTCTAAATATTAAATGCTTTTTAAAGAACTAACCTCAGAGTTCTGTGCATCAAAAAATGCTGATTCTGCTAATAAAAGTAGGAATTCTGGGGTGGGGGAGGGGGAGAAGATAGAAATTGAAGATGGAAGCCTCACCATTGTTTTTACACATAAAAAAATGAGCAGCGCTTTGACTGCATAGTTGTGGCCATTTTCTTTATTATTTTTTTTTGACATTCTTTGTGCCCCGATAACCCTGGATAAAACTCTGGATTCAAATTCCTTCTACAGATCATAAGCTTGTTAAAAGAACAATCTTAAGCCCTCATCCATAAAAGGGAAAAGTAAGTTATTGTGAAGGTCTAGAGTTGTTTGTATACGCTTGAGAGCTTGCAAAAGAGTTGTAAAGTGAGTTGAACCTGATTTTGTGACCTTTTTTTGCTACAGTTGTTAAGCAAATCACTGCAGCTGTTGAGTGAATCATGCAGTCATTAAGCAAATTAGGCTTTCCGCATTGACTTTGCTTGTCACAAGCCAGCTGGGAAGGTCGCAACTAATGATCACATGACCCCAGAATGCTGCATCCATCATAAATATATGCCACTTACCAAGCACTCAAATTTTGATCATGTGGCTATAGGGATGCTGCAATGATTGTTAAGTGGGAGGACCAGTTGTAAGTCACTTTTTTCAGTGCTATTGTTAACTTCAAATGGTCATTAAACGAATAGTTGCAAATCAAGGATTATTAGTTTTTTAATGCTCTGAAAGGAAAGGGCTGATAGATGAATAAGCCAGCATTTTCACAAGATAGTCACAATGCTTGGTTTGTAGAAAGCCAACAGAATTTACCTGCCACCTTTCCCAGCTGCTCTTATGGCCTCATTAGCTAAACAAAATGCTGTCTCAGGATCATACCAAAACTGGCTCAGTTGCTGAAAGGGAAAAAAGTGCAAATGTTAACAGCATAACGTTTAGGTAATTTATCCGTAGAAGGTTATTTGCTACAACCCAGAGGTTTGGTTTGGTTGGGTTGAAATACCAACTTAAAAGAATTAGTATCCATCCATGGAAGAATGGATCAAAAAGATGATGGAATTGGCAGAGATGGCAAAGTTAATTATACAAATTAGGGAAAAGAATGTAAATACGGTAGGTTTGTTTCCACTTGGAAACTGTTTCTGGTTTCTCTGCTCTAAACAAACAAAAAAATAAACTTTGATTTTGGGCTTTGATCATTTTGTAGATTGTTGTTATATAAAATAATGAATACTAGCCATTTCTATAAGTAAAAAGTTGACGCTATAACTCTATTATGCATCTTACTGCACCAAAAGAAGCTGGAAGTCACTGCTTTTGTTTCTTCTTTCTTACACCTTATTTTCTTTTTCCCTCCCTTTCCCCTTTTTTCCACTGTCTTTTTTAATTTTATTTTATATTAAGAAAAATAATATATATATAAAACAAGAATTAGGATCCTTGGTATTGAAATAGTGGCAGATTCAAGTTAGATGATATCAAAACAAAAATAACACAGAAATCTAGGAATCGGTTTAGTTTCAATGAAAAACTAATAGTGAGTAGGCATAACACTGAATTATGTAACCATTCACAAATTGTTCTAAGAATTCAATAATGAATAGATCTGTTTGGGAATTATACATGTATTTCGATGAGAATTATAGGTAATCCTCAACTTACAACCGTTTGTTTAGTGACCGTTTAAAGTTATAACAGTACTGAAGTGATTTATGACCGTTTTTCACATTTACGACCATTGTAGCATCCCCACGGTCGCATGATCTAAATTCAGATGCTTGGCAACTGACTCATATTTATGACAGTTGCAGCGTCCCGGGATTGTGATCACCTTTTGTGACCTTCTGACAAGTAAAGTCAATGGGGAAGCCAGATTCACTTAACAAATCATGTTACCAACTTAACAACTACAGTGATTTATTTAAGAAAGGTCATAAAACATAACAACTATCACTTAGCAACAGAAATTTTGGGCTCAATTGAGGTTGTAAATCAAGGACCACCTGCATCTGTCCCCAGTTCACAGGAGCCAGGGATATAGAGGCTGTGGAATGGGAAACAAAGCCGAACTAACATGATACACCAAGACATAAGTAATGGCCGCCAAGGTGCAGATACTATTTATTTTGCAAAGATCATTAATCTAAGTGCTCTAAGCTCAGTGGAAACTTAGTTACTGCTATTTCCATTCATGGAAACTGGAAATGAAAACTTGTGGGCCTTTCTACATAGGAGTCCCCATTAGCCACATTTTAGCAAAAATGCTTACCCAGTTCTCTTCAATAGAACCGACTGAGTAACTGTGAGTTTTATCAGTAGTCTTAGCTTCTCTCTGCTGTTGCTCAACATAGAATTCCTGCAGAGCAGCTAAAGCTTCAGATGAAAGCTGAGGAACATCATCATCATCATTCATTTCTGGATATAAAGCACGAGATAAAGAGCCTTTTGTCAGCTGAAAGGAATTGGCAAAAGGTAAACGACTTAGGTATAAAATTCAAATATTTTGCCGTGAGAGGAAAACATAAGAGGAAAAGATTTCAGAATTAAAAGCAATAGAGATTTTTTTCCCCCATTTTATATACTTGTTTGCCAATACAGGTAATCCTCATTTAGTGATCACCAACTGGGAAAAGCAACTTGGCATCAGGGAGGGCAGTTGCTAAGTGAAATCATAACTGTGCTTATGATCTTACATTCCTGCTATCATTCCTCCTATTATAGTAGACCAGGGGTAGGCAACCTTGGCTCTTTTATGACTCGTGGACTTCAACTGCCAGAATTCCTGAGCCAGCATGGCTGGCTCAGGAATTCTGGCAGTTGAAGTCCACGAGTCATAAAAGAGCCAAGGTTGCCTACCCCTGTAGTAGACTCTTCCCAAATTCTCTCATGTTGAATGTATTTTTAATTTGCAAGAAAAAAACAATGAAGGTTACTCCAATTGTAGTTGAAAGGTTTCAAAATGGAATTACGTTTCAATTGCAGCTCTTTATTTTTTTCCAAATAGTGCACTCATCAAGAAAATGTTTTTGTTTTATAAATAACCAGCTGTATTTTTGTTAAACATATTTAATGAAAAATCCTTTATGCACTAAAATCATGTATCCAAAAGGATGCCTGCAGCTATTTCTTTCAAGCAAATTCTGCAAATATTTTAAATGAATATTTCTTGTTTGATTCATCATTGCTCTGGTGTTGTACAGCTTTAATGACAGGAAAAATATTACCAGTTTGAATGGAATTTCTTTTTACAACAAAGTGTGTTACACATAACATAAGCTTTTGAAGATCCTAAATATTAAACTTGTAAACAAAACCACAGTTAAGGAAAAAAGTAATTATACACATATGAAAGAAGATAATATGGACTGATAAAATCTAGTGCCATAAACACCTGCACATGATTCTGTAGCCAATAACCTTTTGGCTGTTTTGAAAATCAGAAGCTCCTAAGGATGGCAAAATTAGAATTTTAGAAAAGATTATCAATATCTCGCTAGAATATGGAGGCAATCACAATGACATAAAAGTCACAAAGAGGCCCCCACAAAGACATCGAGGAACTACAGTATTTCAGAAATGGAAACTGTTTCTCATATGCTATGGACTAAATTTTCCAGCATCCCTAACGTTTGAAAATGTTGGCTAGGGAAAATGAGAATTAAGAGTACAGCAGCAGCTAAAAAGTCACATCTTGAACCACATCTCCAACCAAGAAAGAGATTCATTCTTGCAAAAAGGGTTGTAATTTTCAATTACAACTTCAAGAAGTTAAGACTGCACACATGGCCGCTTAAACATCAACAGTAATTCAATCAAAGTGACATAAATTTATTGTACATCCAACATCCCTACAGTTCTGCTGCATGAAAAATAAATTCATGGTAAGTTAAAGTAAAGGCCATTAGCAAGAGTCTTGCCACGTAGCAGACAGCACACAAAGGTTGCCCTTCCTAAGAGTATGAAAAGAAACAGGCCACACGGTTACGTGAGCAGACATCCTCTAGGACAGCGGTTTCCAACCTTTTCTATACCCTGCACCCCTAGAACACTTCTGATATATTCTTGCACCCCTTACAAAAGTTCAAAATGAATTTTGAAACTTCTAAAACCCAAGTTTTCGCAGCCCCTGGAATATCGTCTCACACCCCCGGTTGGGAACCCCTTGGTCTCTTAGACTTCCCCTTGCACCTACTTACATGGTTCCAAATTTGAGAATTCAAAGGGTCTACTTTATTGGGAAAAGTTGTTCTGCCAGCAAACACAGCTCCGTACTTCTGAACTGAACATAATTGTGAAATATAACCTTTCTTATAAAATAGCAATCTTCATAAGCATTGCCCATGTGGGAAGTCAGCCCCCCCAGAAAGAAATATTTTTGGGAATATTAAAAGGCAGAATATTATATTTCCCCAAAGGATCTTAAAGGTAGAAACCAACCCCCCCCCCCCTCAAGTCTCTCTGCCCCAAACAGAAACCAGGTCTGCAGAAATGCAGATGTGATAATCTTGTCACAAAGATTGGAGCCAGGAAGCTGACATTATAAAGATAAAGATCCCTAGAATCAACAATCCCTCACACCAAAAAATCCAACATTCATCAGCCCCAGGTAAGCAGGATATGACCTTTGCGACATAAAAGGATTAACCCACCACCATCAGAATACCAGAAAGGCACACTCAGACTCAGGTCAAAGTACATGACACAGGAAATACAAAGCCCGAAACAGGAAGAACTCCAAATACAAAGCCCAAAGGAAGGACAAAAGCCCACCACTCCGTGCTACATGTGGTCAGTTTTTCCGAGAGCCATCTTTCTGTCTGGCTCTCCTCTTCAATAAACTGCAACCTTCTTTCTAAAGCAGTCTCCATTTTGTTTATTCTGCTTGGACCGGACCCTGATGGAGATTTTTCTTTCAACACCCATATACTGTATTAATCACTGTTAACATTTCAAAGATTCATACAGGTGATCCTTGCAATCGTGAACCCAGCATTGCTGCTTTTGATTTTGACAAACCTAAGTCCCTGACCAGGTGTGCTTAATTCTGTGTTATGAGATGAGAGTAACAGATGGGGAAGCAAGAGGAACCCTTCTAGGTTTTACGCTTCTGAAGGAGGAAATTGCAAAGGTCCTCTCTTCTGCTCACATTCTTTTGATGCCACCCTGCTGCCCAGGCGGAAAGGCCTAACATCAACACGGGCCTCAGTGGTTGTCTTTGTAGTCAGCCCAACGCACGCTGCACCACTAGGAAAACGCTCTGTATTCTTGCAGCACCCCAATACAGGTGTAGTTATATACAGACGACCAATAGGCGGCAACAAAGAGAGCCCTCGCTGCTGCCATCTCGTGGTCGGCCGCTTGCTTGTAGACCAGTGTTTCTCAACCTTGACAATGTTAAGGCATGTGGACTTCAACTCCCAGAATTCCACAGCCAGCATTGCTGGCTGTGGAATTCTGGGAGTTGAAGTCCACATGCCTTAAAATTGTCAAGGTTGAGAAACGCTGTTGTAGACAGAGGAGCCCGATGCTAAAACTCGAAACTAATCGCGCGGGCTGGGTCTGCATATCCCGCGAGGGCAAAACGTACATGACGAGTGGGTGGGTGCAGGGTGGCCATTCAGCCACGAACTCTCGTGAAAGGCAGGCCTTAGCCCTGGAGACTAAACCCTATTCGTGCACCGGCTCTCGGCTATCCAAAGCAGGCTCTCCCTCCACTACTGGCGCTCCCCTCCCCGGCAGCCCGTTCTCCTGCCTTCCGTCGGCTGGCAGCCGCTCCACTCACCAGCGGCCTCGGCCTCTCGGCTCCCGCCCGCCTCTTTCCTTTCCCCTTCTTCCCGGAACTCCGCCTTTCCTCCGCCCGATAACCCAGCCCGCTCCGGCGCCCTCTACCGCGGAAGGAGCTCCGGCGCTTTGGCGAGCCGCTCAGCTGGTTGCTGTTTTAATAGGTGCTATTGGGAAAGGGCTGCAACAGAGACTAGAAAAAGATGGTAAAGTAGCGTGCCAAGGAAAACGGAGCTAAAGAGCACGGCTTCCCTGATTCTTGCCAAGCAGCCTGTTTTAAGGGCATATTAGAGCTAAAAAAAAGAGTAGGATGGGATGGTGGGTCACAGGATTTACAGAGCCTCCCATTCCTTATGTTCCAAATCAATGCCCAGAGAGACAATGTTATCGTGTGAAGGGACTTTTTCAAATTGCAAGATTTATTTCCCTCGCAACGCAGGGGAGGACTTTTCCACTCAGTTCCAGAACTGAAACAAGCCTACCAAAATGATGTTTGCGTGAGCCACTATTGCTACAAACAGCCAATTGTGTGTGTCAATGGCAATTTTGCTCAAAAGCATCACATATGGGACTTCGTCATGGTTTTAGGTGGCTCTAGTTAGAACGTTAATCCACCAATTAAGGACATGTGTTTATGAATCTATGATAAATTGCTTCCCAGTGGTGCCTTTTTAATAGAAGATGAGTAAGCTTTCAGTTTAAAATAAACAAAATGTAGTGCTCGGCAGGGTTTTCCACAAAACATATTTATTGCTACTTCGTCCTTAAATAGAAATGATCCATCATCGACTTCTTGCGAGGCCAGTGAAATCAGATGAATATGTGTTAATACGATTCTCCAAAAATGATGTTATTTTACTAAATTGAAGTTCCATCTTTTGGGGGGGGATTTGTTTTTACATTTAAGACAAGGCAACATACGCACTTGTAGAAAAGAGAAGCAATGGCCTTGAAGGACTGGAAAAAATGCCTACCAAAGCAATGAAATGGTTGGATAAAATGGCCTTGAGAAAAGTCTCAGACAAGTCTCTCCCTAACTCACATGAACCTGGGAAGAGGAACCGTATTCAGTCTTGTAAGATTCTGGTATAAAGCTTTACAGTAAAAGTAGTACTGATCTATATGGCATTGGTTTTCTAGTCTATCTATCTTGTAGGACTGGCAATATTATAAAATGCACTTAGTTGCCATTTCACTGGTCTGTTCTATTTGAAATAATTTCCCACCATTGACTCCTGACATTTGCTTCACTTTGAAGCTGAAGTATCTGGTCTGAATTTTAAATCTGATTTGACCTTTTCTCTCCTTGCTGGATCTTAAAAGGCTAAAAGTATTTACAGTGCATTCAGAAAGTATTCAGATCCCCTTCACTTTTGTCAATTTTGTTATGCTGCAGCCCGATTCTACAGTTGCTGAAATTAATTTTTTTTCTCATTAATCTACACTTAGTACCCCATAACGACAAAGTGAAAACAGAATTTTAGAAATGTCTGTAAATTTATTAAAAAGAAAAAATTGAAATATCACATTGGCATAACTATTCAGACCTTTCACTCAGTACTTTGTTGAAGCACCTTTGGCAGCAATTACAGCCTTAAGTCTTTTTGGGTATGACGCAACAAGTTTTGCACACCTGGATTGGGGGATTTTCTGCCATTCTTCCTTGCAAATCCTCCCAAATTCAGTGAGGTTGGATGGTGACCAATAGCATTCAAGTCAGGGCTGTGGCTGGCCATTCTAGGACATTCACAGAGTTGTCCCTAAGTCACTCCTGTGTTGTCTTGGCTGTGTGGAAAGTGAACCTTCAGTCCAGTCTGAGGTCCTGAGCGCTGTGGAACAGGTTTTCATTGAGGATATCCCTGTACTTTGCTCCATTCAGCTTTCCTTCAACCCTGACCAGTCTCCCAATCCCTGCTGCAGAAAAACACCTCCACAGCTTGATGCTGCCACCGTGCTTTATTTTTGCGATGATATTGGACAGGTGATGAGTGGTGCTTGGTTTTCTCCAGACATAACATTTAGAGCTGAGGCTAAACAGTTCAATTTCTGTTTCATCAGAGCAGAGAATCTGTTTGAGAGTCCTTCAGGGGCTTTGTTGCAAACTCCAAGCTGGATTTCATGTGTTTTGTATTGAGAGGTTTCTGTCTACCCACTCTGCCATGAAGCCAGATAGGTGGAGGGCTGCAGTGATGATTATCCTTCTGGAACTCTGTCCCATCTCCACACAAGATCTCTGGAGCACAGTCAGAGTGAGCATCAGATTCTGGTCACCTCTCTTACTAAGGTCTTTCTCCTCCAATTGCTTAGTTTGACCAGGTGACCAGCTCTTGGAAGAGTCCAGGTTGTATCAAACTTCTTCCATTTGAGAATTATGGAGGCCACTGTGCTCTTAGGACCCTTCAGTGCAGCAGAAATTTCATTATAGCCTTCCCCAGATCGTGTCATGCAATAATCCTGTCTGAGCTCTGCAGGCAGTTCCTTTGACCTCATGGCTTTTGCTCTGCTACAGTATGCATTGTCAGCTGTGAGACCTTCTATAGCAGGCATGTCAAACTCATGATGTCATGTGACATTGCGCAACGTATTGCAACTTTTTCCCCATTGCTGGCAATGGGGTGGGTGTGGTTTTGGCATGATGCATCCCGCCCACGGGTCAGCAGTTTGACATGCTTGTTCTATAGAGAGGTATGTGCCTTTCTAAATCATGTCCAATCAATTTAATTTACCACAGGTGACTCCAAGATGTAGAAACATGTCTGCAATCATAAAGAGTAATGGGAGGCACCTGAGTTAAATTTCAAGTGTTGTTGCAAAGGGTCCGAATACTTATGCCAATGTGATATTTCAGTGTTTTCTGTAATAAATTTACAGACATTTCTAAAATTCTGTTTTCACTTTATCATTATGGGATACAGAGTGTAGATTAATGAGAAAATAATGAATTTCAACAAGTGTAGAATCAGGGTGCAGCATAATACAGTTGACAAAAGGGGGTCTGAATACTTTCTGAATGCACTGGGTACTGTATATTAGACTATTAGAGAAGTTTATACTTCTCTGTTATATTATGATTGTTAAACAACTGAATGGCAGATTGGTCAGCCACATTTTAGCTTAACATGTTATGCAAAGCCCATCTATGTAATTAATAATTTGCTCTGCTCCAAGTTTTTTTTTGTGTGTGTATGTGTGTCTTCAAAACAGTGTTGACTTCTGGCGACTGCCTGGAATAGTCCATGCAGTTTTCTTGGCAACATTTCTGAAGTGGTTTGCTATTGCCTCTTTCCTAGGACTGACTAGCCCAAGGTCTGCCAGCTAGCTTCATGTCTGAGATACGACTAGAACTCTCTCCAGTTTCTCATCAGATACATTAACCACTAGGCCGAACTGGATCCCCAAACTTGTATTATCATGATGAAATTAACTATAGATATAGTTAAATGTGCTCTGCAGAAAATTTCCTGCAATTTTGTCTTAGGAAATGAACAGGTGTAATACATTGGATGTTTGGTACTTGTCAATTAAAAGCCTACAAATAAGATGCACTGCGGCAGGAATAGAGTTAGATTTTCTGAATACTCTAACTCAGACATGTCAAACTCACGATGTCACGTGACGTCATGCAACGTATCAGGATGGTTTTGCCATTGCCGGCAATGGGGTGGGCGTGGCTTCCGGATGACGTGTCCAGCCCGCGGGCCAGCAGTTTGACACCCCTGCTAACTCATACACAAATAATCCTTGTTTAGTGACCACAATTGGGACTTGCAACTTAGACATTAAGCAAGGTAGTTGCTAAGTGAAACCATGACTCTGCTTAAATCTTACCTCAGCTTTCCTTTGCTTTATAGATCTGCAAAGGAAGTTAATGAGAGGACTGGTCACAAAGTTACTTTTTTTTTTTAGCACTGTTGTAATTTCAAACAGACACTATATAAGGCATATATTAAACAAGGGCTAACAAATTGCTAGATGCCTGTTGGGGCTCTTACATCTGCAGAATTATTAGGTGGAAGCAGAACGGTAGAAATTTCTGTATCGTTTGGTTGCCATCAAGTAGTTATTTGCATTGTTGCAACCTAGACCTGGTAGCCCAATTGTTTATTTAAGGGGAGTTTTTCCTCCATAATCAACTAAAAATTCAGATTAAAAAGAAAAAAAATTAAGTTGATGTTTGACACATGGCACCATGTTTATAGTACCTAATATGGCTTTCCTTTGGAATGTTAGATGGCTGCAAGAAATTACTGGGTGAAGGTGCATTCTCCAAGATTGTGGGTTGGTTTCTGAACATTTTGTTACCAGGTTAGGTAACATCGTCAGCAGTGTTTCTTCTGTTTATAACAGTGGTGGCGAACCTTTTAGAGACCGAGTGCCCAAACTACAACCCAAAACCCACTTATGTATCGCAAAGTGCCAGGGCCGCATCAGCATTGTGGTGCACTGGGAGGGGGGCAGGGAGGTGCCTCTGAGTGCCGCCTCTGGCACGCAAAAACCGGGGGTGCAAAAATGGGCCACTGTGCTGCAAAGTGCAAAAACGGTCACCGCCACACCGCAGGGTGCAGATACAAGGCGCTGCACCACGCAAGAACAGGGCAGGGCTAGTGAGTATCATGCAGGCACTAGCTCTGCCCCATTTGCAGCGGCCCCGTGCACGCATGCACGCATGTAAAATGCTTCCCCCTCCTTTTTCTTCCAGTCCACCAATCGACAATGGTTGGTGACCTCTGCTCTACCACCTCTACTCAAGCTTGCTAGTCGGCTGCTTCACTTCCTTTGTGCTGGGTGGGGCTCCTGCTCCAGGTGGCAGTGGTGGCCTGATGGACCTGCTGCTGGCGGGGGTGGCGTGCGTGCCAACAGAGGGAGCTCTGAGTGCCGCCTCTGGCACGCGTGCCATAGGTTCGCCACCACTGGTTTATAAGGACTTCAGGTTTGGGTGTGTCAAGTGAGGTTCTTTGACGGATCTTGTGAAGGGTCAGGTGTGAGAGCCCCATCACAAGACCCATCATAGACCCTTACTTGACACCCCCACACCTGGTAC